TTTGAGACTGGATATGCTCGGTTGATTATGGTGTAAACAAGCATGTTCATTATTGTTCTTTTCTGATATATATTGTATGATATTTTATATTCACTGTATAAACTATGATTTTTCTTTTTCTTTTTAATAATAAAAACACAGTAAATTTACATAACAATCCATACCACCTGATCCAAAAATTCAATTACTTTTTTTTTCTTTTTTTTTATATACAAAGGGATATTGAGGAAGACGAGATTCTATTCTAACAAAGGACCTCAGGCGCATGTATAAATCTCATAAGCACTTGAGTTGCAAGTTCCTTGAAATCCAAAAATTCAAATTAACCTTGAAGCATAGAAATCAACATCTACAAAGAATCAAAGATGGTTCAATCAAAATAAATAAAACAGGAATCAAAGAATCAAAGACTGTTTAAGCAAAAACGAAAAAAACAAAGAAAGAAAGAAAGAATCAAAAGACTTTTTTTTCCTGTTTCTTTCTACCGCGTTACACTTGGACACTGTTTGACTGTATGTTAAGAATCAAGCAATTGGTTTGTATTTTACCTTATTTTGACTTGGCATGGGGATCTAGAAGACAAATACGTATATATACGTAACATTTTGACCTAATCCAAGAATTAAACAATATATATATGTTGGTGGTGGCTCTACCCTCAAACCCACTTCCCTGGAACCAGAAAAGTTCGCAGAAATAAATGACACATGCAAGAGCCCCCTTTTTTTTTTCTTTTTCTTTTTTGCTGGGGGGTGGTTTTGGTAACAAAAATTAGGGATTAATAATAAGTTAGGGGTGGAGGAGGGTATATTCTCCAACTGAAGACTTTCCAGGGTCTTTGTCGTTCCACACGTGAGACGACTTTATTTGTTAAGAATAGTCATCAACATAACAATTTGTGTATGACCTATGATCTCTTTTACTATTTGTATTTTAAGATTGGGACAGTGATAATTACTTAGCCACTTGTCTTGTTTTTGAAAAACTTCTTGGCTCATTGAAAGAAAAGAAAAACTTCTTGGCTCATTACAAGAAAAGAGAATCATATTTTCTTGAGTAAGGAAATTTTATGTGCTCGTGTCAAATTGTGATATGTAAATAAAAAAGAATGGCTCGTAGCTTCAAGGTTATTTAATCTTGCATCATTATATACAACAAATCAGTAATATGATGAGATTTAAAGCATGAGGTGTTTCTTCAATGGTACTTTTGGAGCCACAAAACTGGGATCCCTAACTAGACTAAGATTCATTAATTAGTGCAATCAATAGGAGCATCATAGCCTATTTCCCCAATCCAAATTGCAGATGCAAAAGTACTCTCAGAACAAAACCAATAAAATTTAAAATTTTACTCAATTCCCATAATTTCCATTCCTAAATCTCTAAGCCCTTGATGAGCTTCCCTCTTGTTCTACTATTTCATGTTTGATCTCCCATCTGCTAGACAACAACTGGATACTTTGAGCTGGTTTGGAAGCCTGCCTTGTATTAGAAGGGACTTCTGTACTAGTTAGACTCTTTCTCATGGAGCTCCATTCTGTGGAGAAAGATGTGACTTCAGATTGTGAAAGTTGTTGTTCCATCTTCCTTGTATGCCTCACCTCAGCTCTCCATTTCCTTAAAATGTCTGCTGTTTTATCTTCTAGTATATGGCTTTTGAATTGTGAGCCCATCTGTTTGTATATAAACAACACTGCTAATTCAGATATCAACTAAATTAATTAATAGTTTGATCCTTAAAACTCATTTCTAAAGTTTTTCTAGTAAATGTTGCTATGATCAAACAATTCAGATCTGCTTCACCTGTGCCACAAGTGCATAGAGAGGGAGAGTGATGTAGCTGCAGAGGACTTGGGCTGTCACCCTGAGAAATCAGAAAGAATTTACAAACACTAATGCCAACAAAGGTTGCTAATAAAATTAATTCATAAAAATAATGTTTTTTTTTAGTATGATAAAATAATTTTGAAGTTCATCTGAATGCAGAATTTCAGGTGGACTTACGCTAAGAAAACCCTTGTAACAATGATCACGGTGTGCTCGTGGTAGCAAGATGTCAACCCGAACTGGATCTAAGAGCCAGGATAATTAAAACCAGAAGAGGGATATTCTGTCATAAGGTAAGCAAAATTTCTGATGTAGAACTTCTGCAGAAAATGGAGGATGTATGGGAAAAGTACACTTACTGTAACCCAAATGAAGAAGGCAAACTCAAAAGCATTCTGAAGTGTCCAAAGAAAATAACATTAGGTAAGCAGGGTGGGTTAGGTTATCAATTATAGTTAAATTTTCCTCCATATGTGATATGAGGGAGGGCGCACCACAAAGAGAGTATAATGTAGCAGCACCAAGACATATTTTGGTTTCCTAAACCAGAAGCGATCATCGTGTTGAACAAGAGGTGTTTCGGAAACTGCACTGTTCTGTTCTTTAATTTGAAGAGCCATTGTTGCAACAATGTGTTCAAGTTTGGTTCCTAACACCAGAACGACCTACCAGAAATTTTTTAATGATTGTATTTGAAACTTCAAACACATTAATTTTTTGTGCATAAAGCAATTGACTTACCAAGATTGGAACATAGGATATCCAGAGATACACATACCAGCCTGGTAATTAAGAGTTCAAACAATGCAGTGAATAACAAATCTCAATCCCAATACATACTGAAATAAGAATTCTTACCATATACATCCAACAGCATAAAAGCAGCTGCTAGAAACCACATTAAAGGGCTGTGGAGACAAAACAGACCACATTAAGTTTGTCACTAATAATAACCGTGATGATCAAACATGTTGCAACAATGCATCATAAGAATCAACAACCTGATGCCAACCATAATCCTGAAATCTTCCTCCAAGCATAGCTGTATGTACCGTTGGAAATTGAAGTTGTTGTGCCTGCTTGACAGGTGAGTCTGCAGAACGATTCAGCATCGCTATTAGGCTTAACTGGATTTAGTTTAGAAAGACTTTTCCCATCAAACAGTTAACAATCTGTCTGGTTGGACTTGAGTTCATTACCGATATGAAGCCATGTCTCAAGGTGAGATAGTGAGCTTTTTCTATTGAGTTGTAGAACTGCCTGGAAAAACATTTCTGCTCCATTTGACAATCATCCAAAACTAAATCATTAGAAACGTCTGCTTCTGTCGTTATTTAAGATTAAAACAAAGTAAAACTCCTTCTTCAAGATCATCAAAGGGACTCACAATCCATAGCTGAACTCTATTCTCTGTACAGGAATTCATGTCCCGTCTTCCACCTGTTGTTTGCCTTGTAAATCTGAATAGATTTGGATCTGCAAGCTAACTAGTGTCAGCAATTAGCAGAGAAAATGTGTAGCTAGCTACATGAAAATATATAGCTCATGTATTGGCACATACCATGGGCGACTTGGTGCTGGCCCATTGTTTGAGCTTGAGCATCTTTCTCCCAAGCTTGAAAGCTCCTCATCTGCATATAGATTCAAAAATGAAAACACCAAAAAAGTTCATTTGGTTAATCAATTGCACTCAAATTTTAGAACAGCTTTGTAATGGCTAAAGCTAAAGCACACCTTGGCCCTTCCCAAAGCCATGGTGAGAACACTATACACAATGTGCATTACCGCCAGCACAAAAATCAGTATGTGAAGCTGATGCAGAGAATGTTTTTTCATGAAAGGTAATTTTCTCTGCGAAATTTTATCTGAATTAATAATTAAGCATCCAAATTTTCCGTGTTAATTATTCCCGCTGCCCCCCTTTTATATATCAAACTATGCACTTACATCACTGCAAGAATCAGAAACCGCTTCCTCTGCAAGTAACCAATGAATTTCACCATACGAACCACCTGCTCCTGTCGAGAAGTTTCTTGCCCCAAAGTGCTCAGCATCTTCTTCTTTTCGAGTTGATTCGGGTGCAACCTTTTTGCGACATGGAAGCATGGTGTCTACTAGCTTGGCTGGTATGCAGAATTTGGATATAGAATCTTGGGTTACTGCCAATAAAAGTGATGCAAATCCCAGAAGCATCAACTCTGCAACAAATTTACAAAACAAAAAACTTCGGGTAACCCCATGCCTTCACATAAGAAATGAAATATCAGTTTAGTTTAATTAATACGGTGCCTGATTTGAGCTTCTCAACTGCATCAAGGCAGCTTTTTGATGCCTCCTGAGCCACTGCACCAAAGTTAATGTGTTCTAGCATGAAATTAATCATATATGTACATATAAAAGAAATGAATATACTCTCAACAGACAGTGTGAACAATATATTAACGTGACAAATCAGAAGAGCTAGCTTACGTACGTTGGCAAGGAGATGGATGGAGTACCGGAGGAAGACGGCGGTGAAAATGAAGAAGAAGTAAACAGTGGCAAGTGCCCATGTCGGCGTGTACTCCATAGAGGTGCCTTCAGAGGCTACTGCCATGACAATACTTTGTTCTTTTTCTGTGTTTTTGTTCTGTACTAATATTTTTCGTTAATTTATGGTTGAGAGATGAATGTGACAAGGAATTGAAGTTTTGATAATTGCAAATCCTTTCTTCTCCCACTCACAGTTGGACCAACTACACAGTATTACATGTTATATATGCACGGGCACTATATACAATGAAGGAAAATGTAAGAAGATAGCATCAAAATGAATTTTTTTAATGCTTTTCTAACCAGCTCTTATCTGTCATTTAATCCATGTTTTATAAGTAAGAATAAATCTTGTCAAGAAAAATGTTATAAAAAAAATATAAAAAGGAAAAGACTTAGGCATCCATGGGTTTTCTTGATAAACACAAGAAAGATAGTTACCAATGAAGATGTAGAAGGAAGGTTGTTCTTACTCGATGTGCTCAAAATGGGAACAAATATATTTGAGGTCAAGTTTTCAGACTTTGAAGCAACTCTATCCATAACATTTTGAACAAGAAACTTTTTTAGTACATTGAATTTTCTTCTATTTCAATGGAGGCTATTAAATTAGTTTATGCGATAGTTAACCCATTACATGTGAAATAATTAACGTAATAAGTCCACATCAACTTCCACATTAAATTTAACCAAATTAATTTTTTTTTAAAACCACTTGAAAAGCTTGTAGTTCCATAATAAAAAGCATTTACGCCCACATCTAAGGCCGAAGTTCCAAGTTTTCTTCCCTTCTCCTCTTCTCTCCCCAGATTTGTTTGGATATTGGGTTCTCTTGTCCAAATCTATTTGGATCTTGTCTTTTGTTTGTTTGTTTGTGTGTTTTATGTTGTAGGTCCTTGGTGACTTTTGTTGTTCTTGGATGTGCCTTGCTATCACTGGGATGGTTGTGGTGTGGTGTTGTCAACCCAGCTTTTCTCTTTGGTTTTCGTTGTGTTTTTGAAGCAAGTACTACAATCCACCAAAGACGCCATGATTTTGTTGCAGCTTTTGGTCCACTCATATGGAATTTGCTCCAGTTCAGTGTTTGGAGTTGGAAAAGTGATTGTTGCAGGTTTGTGTGGGATCGGGTTTTGCATGTGCAAAATAAGACGTTTAGCCATACTGGTGCTAGTGTTCGACTTTTCGATGCGGATTTGCCGTTACTGCCGTTGCGCGGTGGATTTGTATTGTAGGTTTGAGTACATGTGTTTTTTGTCTGCTGAATTGAAGTTTTAGGTTTTTCTAGCATGTGTAATTCTCTCCAAATCAAACCAATTTATTTTTGTGTTTGGTGACTAGAGATGTTATACTCATATTTGGCATTGCGGCTACTTTGTACATTTTTTTTCTGTGTTATCAATAAAATTACTATAGTTTTTAATAAATAAATAAAAAGACTAAAGTTCAAATTAATCATTTTCCTCTTATTTCTCCTGCAATGGAAAAAAAAATTGATAATAGTTATCTACACGCATCTTACACTCAACAATCTATGACACATAATCCAATCCAAACTAAACTGCCCTTGATTTCTGTTAATTTTTAGTAAAATATTAGTGATTAGCATCCAACATCTTTACTAAAGGAATACTGTGGGCTACAAGTAAAGTATACACATTTTTTGTGGGTAAGAAGTAAAGCATTTACTACTAGGCAAGTCCTCTGCACATTTTTTACAGTTTCCAGATTATTTATAAACGTTAAAGCTTTAAAGGTCAAGTTGGGCATTTGGTCTAGTGGTATGATTCTCGCTTAGGGTGCGAGAGGTCCCGAGTTCAATTCTCGGAATGCCCCTCAATTTGAACTATTTTTAAACTTTTCGCCCTTTATTGACACCTTGGGCTGAAAACTATTGGGCCATCCATTTTTTGTGTGTATTTTGGGCTCATTTAAATACTTTACCAACTATTTTTGATAAAAACTCCATTTCCTTCTAGGTTGCTAATCTACATAATTTTTATAATCAATGACAAAGATTTCCAAATTTAGTTAATAATATTTGCTCTCTTGTCTGATTAATTTTGTCCCTTTGCGTAGAGAGAGAGAGAGAGAGAGAGGCACCTAAAATTGGGTTTTTTTTTTTTTTTTTTCCTTTCTCTTTTCTGTTGCTTCTAAGAAATTCTTTTTTATTTTTTAATATTATATGCTTGCATAAGAAATTCCATCTCAAGTTTTAGAAAAGAATAGGTCTAACCGACAATGTTCCCTTCCAAACAGAAGAGTTTGAAGAAATTGATCCAAATATTTTGTCTAGCTATTAGAACCCACCAATTAGTAGGTTGTACAATGATTTTCCAGCCAAAGACAAACCATTGTTGAATTGAATAGGATATTCCCTAATTCCAATACCAGCCAGGGTACCAGAGAAATGAAACTTTCAACTTGGATCCACAATCATGATTGATTTGCAAGTTTAGCATTATGACAAATTATTTGGTAGAACCGTATGTAACATCAGATTTTAGTATTACTATGAATTATTTGTAGGACTAACACCGTATGTGGTGGTATTATAAATGGTGTTAACAGTTTACATTATTGTTGGAGCATAAAATTTCAGGTCCTTCAACAAGTAATCTTGTATTCTATGTTGAGAAGTTGGACACAATTTTGATTGCCACCAACATGGATGGAGGGGAGTATTTGCAAGAAAACACCTCGACACTCAAGTCAGTAGGTGTTCAAAAAGTTGCAGGAGAGTTTAGAAATACCTATATTAAGTAAATTTAGGTTTTAGCCATAAAAAAACTTTCACTTTTGGAAAAAGCCAAAGCTTTTTCAAAAAAGACAGAAAAATCTCTCAACTTTCAAATCAAAGACATGCAAATGTAAATGATTTCTTATGAAATTCAAAAATAAATAAGGGCAATTTTGTCCATTTTGGCTTCTTTTAAAAAATTTCTTTCTCTTTTTGCTTTTTCCAAAGTCTCCCGTTTCATGTTCCATGGTTTTCTCCATGATCTATGAATGATAGTTGATCATGTAGGCTTGATTGCCTCCACTACCCATGTTTAGAATGCATGGGAAGTGGCTTAGTGCTTGAGGATTAATACATGTTTATTTATTAATACTATACCCAAAAAAAAGTAAGTCATATTCCACCCAAATTTTAACCACATAGACTAGTAACACCCAATATTATATATATATATATATATATAGGGATCCAAATGTATTAATAAAGAATCTTTCATGAAAATAGTAATTATGATTTTGTTCCCTATTATAATATTGAGTATGATTAGCCCTATGGGGAGCTTAGCTACTGTGATATAACCACTGGCGTACATATTAGAAAAAGGAGTATTTTAATACGTACCTCTGAGTAAATAAGTCATCCAAATGAAGGAATTTCCTCCAACAATATTCTGTAGAAGTAGCATTGCGTGTGAAATCAATTATGAAATGACTATACTCACCCTAAGAATGTTACAATGACAAATGTTAATATAAAATACGTTAAGAATCAGAAGCGGACCTATAGATACCAATGGCGGATCCAGAAATTTTTATAGGAGTAGGCTAAATAATTTTTTTTTTTTAGAGGAGATATATTATAAGCCTTTTTTCTCATGAATAAAAAAGGAAAATAAAATTTTATAAATCAAACAAAGTCACATTACAAGAAAATATAACACAAAAAAGTACAAAATGTAAATAAATATCAAATCAAACACATTGTCCAACTTCAAAAAAATTTGTTTGATTGCAAAAAAATTTAAAGAGCTTACCTAGTGAAGTGGAACCCTTCTCTCTTTGAGTGTATGAAAATATTTGATTATTGAATCTAAATCAATATCCTCAAAAAGCTCTTTCTTAATGTAGACAATGAGGGAATCTGCGAGATACTCATCCTCCATTTTGTTGCAATGTATAGTCTTAACATGTTTCATAACTGAAAATGCTTGTTCTGTAGTCACCGTAGAAACCGGAAGAGTTAACACTAAACAAATCAAGAAATACTAGACACCAAAAATCATATATGCTAATTAATAATTCAAATTGCAAAAATAAAACATATATTAACAATCTCCAAAAAATTTCACCCAAACCCTAAATCATAAAAACTTAACAATAACAATTAAAATTGAAAATATAAAATATAAAAAAAAAGAGAAAAACTTACCAAGATTGAAGAACCCACTGAAGATAGGTTGGTACAATTTTTCAGAGGAGGATAACTATTTCCTCTAGGCTCTCAAGGTTCAAATATGGCGTTTTGGGTGGCTAGAAATTTTTTTTTGATGTTTGCTCTTTGTGGTTGTAGCCTAATATCAGTACAATTAGAATAGGTCAAGTTGGTAGAGCCTTAGCGTGAGTTTTGCTTTTAATCAAATTTATATAGGTTTGGATTGATGTTTATTATTTTCTATATGTTTCAGGAGTGGGCTTATTTTAAATAGAGCTATTATTTATTTTACTTAAATTGGCTATTATTAATTTATTATATTAATTTGGTAATATTTATTAGAGTATGAATAAACTTAACCATATTTAATATTTAAAAATCTTCCCCGAGGTTGGAGCCCACTCCAGCCTAGGCATAAATCCGCCCTTGATATTGCATCTCCTCTTGCTAGAGCAAGCGTTGCAGGTGCTGGAATGTTGCCCCTTCACTCAGGCAGCTGCACCCGCCACCTGTTTGACAAAAGTCCTCTTTGAAACCTTATTTGCTCGTTGCTCTGCGCTGTTTGCTATGCTTGTTTGTATATATTTTTTTAAAAAGCTCTAGCCAAAACAACGTCGTTTTGAACCAAGGGAAAAAAAAATCCGCACTATAGACGGAAAAGGAGTTCCTTTTAGCAATAGGGATTTTTGCTTGTTTTTTGGTCGAACGAGGAGACTTTGTTTTTTTTTTTTTAAAGAAAGAGTCTCTTACGTCCCTCACCACTAATTTATTATAAAAGATCAAAAAATTCATAACTTTTTTTACATCCTCATCACGAAGTTTGTGTTTTTCCTTGTTTTTGTTATTTTTATTTTTTCCTGAGAGAACTCCAATTCTTTTATTAAAACTGATTCATC